TGAAAGATTTCGAAGGGTACAACTGATGGACACTTCGGGTTCCCATGATCCTTTGCGCATATTCTTTGCATGATGACGGCGCCTCCGTGTGGGCACGTGATGATGACGCAGAAGGGCACTTCAAGAAACAGTTGTTTGGTCCCCTACACCCTTCAACCCTTCGAAGCTCTACTCCGGAGGGTAAACCCTTTGAAGGGATTAGGGCATAGGGATGAGCCCTTCCGAATGGAACGCAGGGAGAGTCAACCTACTCAGATTGAACTAACTCAATTCAGCTGTTCTGAACCCGAAAACTCAGAGTTTCCCATCTCAGGGTAAGTCTGGTTGATCCTCCTAATTGAAACGGGCCCCTGTTGTACATCTCAGAGCAACAGAATCTGTTTTTGAACAAATTAAGTGAGCCAAGTATTCAATGATCCATTCATAAAGACTTACTTCGATTTGAAATGAATCAGCCATTTTGAAAGAATCGTTTGATTGAAGGATTCAATGAATCATTAATTAAAACAGACACTTGCCGCCACCAACTGGCGGTTTTAGTGCCATATTTATTTATCCATGACTAAGCCTAAACCAGAAAAAAAACACACTCAGCAAAATATAAATTATCCTTATCGACAAAAATCCCCCCAAATATATGATACAATTTTTGTCAATATTGCACACCCCTAAACTAGGGGCTACATTTCGGAAATTTGGCACACAGAAATGATGTGTATGCATGTGTGTGTATTTGTTTAATCTACATTGTGAGGACCAAATGTCCCCACAAAAAAATACAAAATAAAAAAAATCCGTTGACATTTGTGGGCCCCATGAGGAAAACAACTCAAGCAATAGTTAATTTAATAAAGCTTATTTTTTTGGTCAATAAAAATGTGTTTAAAAATTAGACATATGTTGTAATCATTTGTAATCACAGGACCCCCAGCCCCAGTATCCCCCTTGAAATTTTTTTTACAATTCGACCACTGTTCAACTCACTATTTTATATTGTCCCTATGAGATGAACAGTGTTGGGCAGTAACGCATTACTTAGTAACGCGTTACTGTAATTTGATTACTTTTTTAGTAATGGGGTAATTAGAGTAGGCCTATAGTTACAAGTCGAGGTCTCTATACGTTACTGCCGCGTTACATTGCTGACAGAATGCAGTGTTTTATAATCTAGAGATTGTAAAAAGGATGTAGCACACGCACTGTGGAGTCAAGTGCCAGTGGATTAGAGACCTGCTCTCCCGCGAGACCCAACGCAACAGAGTGCGGCGCGGGACAAGATGGACAAGTGCTGGTGCGGGCGGGTAGACACTCGTGTGTGTGTGTGCGGGATGCAGGAGAATAAACGATTCACGGGATTCCCGCAAAATAGAAATATCTAAACATAAAATATCTAAAACAAATAAATTGTTATTCATCTATTGCACAAAAGAAGTAATATAAAATAAAAAACGATTAGGCTATAACAAGCGTTGAGCAATGCAGTGCTGAAATTTGCGTGCTCACGAATCCTCTCATTATAACACACATAACACACGCATTATGAAAGATGCAATATGCATATATTTATTGTGTTATAACAGAGATTTGTGAGATTGCGATGAACTGAGATGTCATTTAGAGATTATAAATGCAGCGCTCTTTG